TTTTTTTCCACCAATTTTTTTCTCATTATAATAATTTGGGTGGAGTAATTTTTTTTATTTGCCTTAAAGTTTCTTGATTCTTCAGCTCTCTTGATGAACCTATTGAAAGTATTATTCATTTCTTTTCATGTGTTTTTCATTTTTGTCATTTCTTTTTAATTCTTTCCTATAGTTTCCATCTCTCTGATGCTATTTCCCACCAGATCTTGCATGTTGACTATCTTTCCCATTAGATCCTTTAACACGTTAATCATAGTAATTTTATTCTTCTTTTGTCTTTTTCTTGAATTTTCGCCTTGCTCAAGTAATTTTAAATTCTTTCTTTGATGATTCCAATATCTGTTTCATATGTGAATCTGGTCCCGTTGGTTGCTTTGACTCTTGGCAATGCATTGTTTTTCTTGCTTTTTTATGTGCCTTATAATTTTTGGTTTAAAGTGTGTCACTCTGAGTAGGTCAGTGATAATAGTCTTTATGTCTAGAAATGGGCTTGCCTTTCTTTATGTTGAATCTTTAATTTGAAAGAATGTTTGAGATGTTTGATAGAAGCACTAAGTAAGTTTCCTACATAGAACACGCTACAAGCTCTGTGGAGATAAAGGTTTCCAAATTTATTTACCATTATACTGTCTTAGTGTTATTAAATATTACTTGTATTCACCTTTTGGGAGCTGTTACTCTGTATGATGCATTCTCTGATTTGTAACTTTTAAAACAGACTTTTGAATTAGGAACTGAATTTAGCCCCCATTTTATTGGGGGCTAAACTTAAATAAAATAATTTGCCTAAGGATACACATATATCAAATGACAGAATTAGGACTTTATTCCCCAGGCCTATCTTATTTTATACCCTGTATTCTTAACTGTTACCCTATTTAAATACATCACTTAACTGGACAAAATATTATTGAATGTCAGTTATATTGTAGATCCTGCAATAACTGCTATAGAGGGATGGAATGAGTGATATGACATTTTCTTTTTGCATTTAGTATGCTAGTATTCCAAGAATGGACTTTAAAAATTATCCTAGTTTGCTAAGCAATTATTAATAGAATGATAAAAATTCAGAGTAACAGATTTTACTTACAAATGATACTCCATTAGCTTATTTTAGAGAAAACTTTCTGGTTACTGTCAAGGATTCACTACAATTGTAAATGACTCAGTCCTCATCAGGAGTAGGACCATCATCATCTTGGTTTGGAACTGATGAGTGCCATAGTCCACAAGACCCAGTATAAAGATAAATTAGACTATGGAGCACAGTATGGGAATAGAACTAGATATATGGAAGTCATAATTCATGCAATAAAGAAACTGAAATATAACAGGGTAAAAGAGAAGAAAGAACATTCTTCCCAAACCTTAGAGTATAACCACAGAGAGGATAAGAGAGGAAAATAAATCACTAGACTAGAACGAGGTGGTTAGAGTGTTAGTATAATCAGAATAATATGGCAATGCTGTGTGGTAGAGCTATCTGTGATGATGAGAATGTTCTCTATCTGTGCCGTCTAATACAGTAGATTATACTAACCATGTGTAGCCATTGAGCATTTGAAATATCACCAGTTGAATAAGGAACAGAACTTTTAAAATGATTTTTAATACTAATTTATATAACTGGTATGAGTATCATTTTGGCAACATGAGACTGCAATGTAATGAAGCTGAGGAAAGTAAAAAAAAGGTGGAATGGAGATCATAGTATTAAGATGCAAAAAAATCACATATGTGTGTACATGTGTGTGCACATGCTAGAAGGTGGGTATGGTTGGAGAGAGGGCAAAATGTGAGGAAAACACAGAGAACATGGTAGAAAAAGGAACCAACATTTATTGAACATGGTAGTCTAGGTAATGGAATTTTATGTGCATACTTTGGACATAGCCTGAAAGGTAAGAATTATCTGTGTTTTGATAGTGAGGCCACAGAAGGAAGACATCAACTTGCCTTTAGTTCATATAGCTAATACGTGATGATATATTTGAATACATGCTCAAAGCCCGTGCTTGTTCTGCTATGCTACTCTACCTCTCAGAAAAAAAGAGATAAAAGAATAGTAGATGAATTAGGAAAAGGGAAAAAGTGAATAATTTTCTGAATATTTCAAGGGTCATAGTACACTATTCATTATTTTTTAAAAAAAGTATATTGCCAAATAGTTTGAGGCCTAGAAAGAAGGCATCTTCCTCCAGAGAAGAAGTGCTTTTGCTTTTGCTTGGTAATAGTTGAGAATAGCAATCCTGGATCACCTTGAATTAAGTTTAAGGCTAGAGGACGACACAAGCATTGTGAACCCGGGATGTGATCCACTCATGTTGAGAGTGGATTTACTTCTGCCAGTTACTCTTGGGGCGAACCAACTTCCTTGCTCACTTTTCTGTCTGGCTTAATGTTTCCCTTCAGTTTGGCCAGGTAATTCCTTACTTTTTTTTTTTCAGCTCTTTGGTTTTAAGAAATTTTTTGTTCTCCATGTTTTATTTAATAATTTGGGTTATTATCATGAGGAGTGTTTGGTCTACTATTAGACCAACTGTTATTAAAGCCTAGTCCACTATGATTAGAAATAGGAATCTTGTTTTGTTTATAATTTCATGGAAGAATGCTTTGCTCATAATTTTCATGTGCTTCATGGCATAATCTTTCTGTTGTGTCTTCTTTATTATTTTTTTCATGTTCTTTTTGTTCATTTATTTTTTACATAACTATTTTGTAGTTCCCATATTGTAAAAATTTTTATTGTCATTCTTCTGTTCATTGGTGGCATTCTGCTCATTAGAGCTAGATAGGCAGCTTGAATATTGGATTAATTGTCTCCAGACGCTTTTCTCAGACATTCTTCTCAAAGTTATGACTTCTTTCTTCGCTAGCCAGAGCTTCCCTAAAGCCCATATGTTATAGATTCTTTTTTCTCTCTCTCATGTTCTTGTTGCTATTCCTATTTTCAGAGTTCATAGGGGACATAGATATCTCTTTTCTGTTAACTTTGGTGAAAGTCCTATATTGTTTCTCTAGATGGGCCTTATCTGTATGTAGCATGGCTACCACAAAATTTAGGTCTTAAAATTTAGTTCTCTGGCAGTTTCTCACCTTCCATTTCCTAATTTCCACATGCTTCTCTTTTGGCATCGTTATTATTTCTTTCTCTACCTTAAAGAATCTGTTGATTGATCTAGAAATGAGTGTCATCTTTCTAATGACCTTCCATTTTTTTATATATGTAGTGATGCTTTGAATTAGTTGATTTTAAATATTCTGTCTCCAATTATGCTAATTTATGTTTCTAACACTTATTTTGCAACATGTAAGTCCAAGAATAAGTAGATACTACAGAGAGGAACTGTAATTATTTTACTAGTTTTAAATCTTCTGTTAAAACATACTGATCCACACAAAAAGCAGCATGTAAATGTTCATACCAGTTTTATTCATAATTGCCCCAAATTGAAAGCTACTAAGATATCCTTCAGTAGGTGAATGGATACACATCCATACGATGGCATATTATGCAGCACTAAAAAGAAATGAGCTATCAAGTTA